CTCCCCATACAATATTTTTGTTTGTGAAGTAAGCTATCCTGGAAACACTGCTCAGGATTCACAGTGCACATCTCCAATTCCAACTCTTAGAGAATTGTTCTGGCTGTGAAGACTCAAATGCTCCGATACATCACCTGAAATTTTGGATGAATACATAAACAAAAACAGATACTTCAGCAATTAAAGAGAGGGTTTTGTACAAATTTCAGCCCCTACTAGCAGATTCTTATTCAAGATATAAATGAGATGAATTATTTGTTATTATAAAACGATGAAAATTTAAAGGAATAAAAAATCTCAAGTCTCTTGCCACTTCATTTCACATTGTTCCACGCATCTTCGAAATGTCTTTCATCTACCTAGGCACTATTACTTTTAACTAATATATCCTGTCACATGAGTCTGTAAAGGTAAATCTGATGCTGCTAAACCGTGGTCTTTTGAGATTGGTAGATCACAAGGCAAAGTATTTTGGTCACACAGCATTTCCCAAGCATTCTTGGTATTTATGTACCGTCACTGCACCTTGCGTTTGCTGGACCACCAAGCTGCAGATGCTCTCGCTGCGCCTTGGGAAGGAAGGGAGGAAGGGAAGGAAGGGAGGAAGGGAGGGCTCCAGGGCAGTGGGGCAGTCCCTGCGCGCTGTCCCCTCGCCTGCAGTGACATCTGCCGGCAAAGGGCGCTCACCCCGCGGGGCTGAGAGGAGCTGACCCCGGGAAAGAGCAGCTCTTGGGCTCCTTTGCAAAGCCAGCCGAGACCCGGGGCCAGCTGTAGGCTAGAAGTGAACATTTCTAGCGAAGGGTCTGGGAAAAGCCACGAGAGTCTTTCACAAGGACGGTACTAGTTTCATGATGATTGTAGCAGCTTTTTTCTTTTCCCTTTTTTTTTAATGTAGGATGTGTGGGTGCACAACAGATCTAAAAAGGGCAGTGTCTCAATTCTGCACCATCCCAACAAGCCACAAACGCAGAATTATCTGATTCTAGAAAGATAAGGGTGAGGGAAAATACCTCTCGCGTTCAGTCTACATAGTAACACATTTCCAACAAAATGGGAGGTTGGGGTGTTTTTCAATTTAAAAAGTTATATTTGTCGCACTGAAAGTTTGACACTGAAGAGCATATGCAAAGGCCACCTACTACAGCCCTTGAGCAGCTGTCTGCTGCAACAGCCCAAAGGAAATATATCACACCAGAGACCTGGTGGGCAGGTGTCTAAAAACACCACCCCAAACTCCACAATATTCCAAAAAGCATCAAATTGGGCAAAGAATCCTCTGGAGGAGTCACCTGGTGATCACATTCAGTGTGCCCCTCCTTCCTCAGCAAGCTACAGTATTCTCCAACAGCCCTGATAAAACAATATTTAGTCAGTATTCACTTCAATGGCTCAGTACATTTTGAGTGGGGTTTTTGCCATCCCATTGACTTAAACAGAAGTTGTGAATAGAAGAGCAAGTCATCAGCACCAGAAACAAGTGCTCTGGTGAAAAGGAACCAGAGAATCACCTTCTTTGATAGGCCTCTACCATGCTAAACTTTTTCTGCTTCACTTTCAGCTCTGTGGAATTAATAACATTTCTTTTCCATTTCTGAGTGCTGGAAGTTCCTCTCCTCAAGAAATTTATAAATGGACATATTCTTTGGATCTGTCTGGCTTGAACCACATTAGTCGATGTCACAGCACAAATATTCATTGCAGCAAGCTTCCAGAACATGCTGCCTGTCATCTTCCACCATTACCAAACAAGGGAGCATTCATGAAGTACATTTGGCCATCTTCAGGCATTCTTGGCCCCATCCTGCCAGCTAGCATACTGGGAAAACAAATGGTCAGAAGAAACCAAAATGCAGGGGCTGCACAACCAACACTATTAAATACTAGGGACAAATTTGAGATGACAAATTGAGACCTGCACTTGATATGCAACACAAGAGGTCCCTCTGTCCACACCCTTTAACATCTAAAATGGGATATATGACGTGTCCACCAGTTCCCACCTTGCTCTTCACCACTAGTTTTTGGTGAGAGGGCTGTTGCTGTCACAAAATAAACTTGGCCAAGATTTGGTCAAGCTTTGACTCAGCTATCTGAATAAAGTTGCAGTCCTGAAGCAAACACACCAGGTCTTGGGTTGAGCTCCCACAGAACACCATCAGGCTTCTCAGAGCCGTATCCAGCCTGAGCTTCATGATGTTCCTGCTGCAGCACCAGTTCAGCACATCTCTCTACCCACAGCTAACTATTCCCACATGGCACAGCAATGCAATTGTGTTCCCCTCCTCCCAGCCTTGAACCTCTCTTTTCCTTCTACACAAAGAACTTCTGCTGTATGCTTCCACCAACAGAAAGGAAGCTGAAGGACAAGTATCCATTAACTTTATAACATGTTTCTTCCTAGGAAACAGAATAAAGGCAAAATAAAAGCTCTGTGCAGACCACAACAGTTTTTAGTGAAAAATGAATACTTTGATGCTTTTTAAAATTCAATCAGGAAGCTCAAGTCAAAGTACTGTCATAGAAAGCAAGATCCTTATATTTAGTATCTGAAAGCATGCTAAAATGGTGCTGAAGAACACAATGAACATGCACCTCCTGCTCCAAAAAGCATCCAGGGTCAGATGTAATGATGTTCAAGTAGGAATAAAAGAAAGGCCTAAAGTGGACATGCTATTTTTTGTACAAAAAGCACATTAACTACAACAGCAGAGTGAACTTTCTTCACCTCTGCTAACTGCTAGGAGCTCAGATATTGCAGTATTAAGAATCAGGACTGTACCTAACAAAGTATGCTGGGGGTTGAGTATAGCCATTACTTCCTTTAGCACCAGCACTTAACACTCAGGGACATTAGGGTTGGTAGGCAGAATTGATTTGACCTCTATTCCTCTTCTTTTTCTGTCACTTCCATTTCATTTAATTTATTGACTCTTTCAGTTTATTCAGTTGAATATGGGGAGGTGAGGACCCAACAGTAAAGTAGCACTTGTATATATCTAGATTAAAAACTGTCAGCCATCAATTTTATACTTAAAATTTGAGTTAAATAAATATACACAACTACATACAGACACATCACTTCTCTTCAAAACAGTGACGGAACACACAAAGCAACATCTACTCTTGGTTACTCAACTTCTGCAGAAACATGTGCTTTAAGCACCTTGTGCCCAGTCCTGCACTTCCCAGTTCAAGGTGGAAGCCACTCCTGTGAATTTCTTCCATACCTACTGGCTGTAAGCCCAGTCGCTGAAAAGCCTGTTTTAGAGGTTTTTGTTATTCATTCAGTCACTGCTCTAAACGCGTGACAACGGTGTCTTTTTCAAAGAGGTGTTAAGCTTAAATCTCACAAATACATTACAATTAGAAGACACCAAGATTTAAATAATTTCAGTTATTTAAATCATAACTACAACTTTTCTATCAGAGTTCAGTGAGTTGCAAAAGTTAATTTATTTTTCTTTCCTCTTCAGCTTTTCTTGGATAAACAGCAATTCTGGGAATTACTTGGGTTTGCTGCCCATGTGCAAGCAGCAAAGCCAAAAATTATTTGGTTTACATAGGTCACTACTCTTTGCAGCTTTCAAGAAATAATTAACTTGAATATGGATTTCAAAATCAAAACATCAAAAATATAAAGCAAGACAGAAAACAAGAAACAAAATACCACCAGATGAATTTATACATTTTATTCCCTTGTAGCTCCCAGAAATTTTCAGTAACAAACTAGTTGTTATAGAAGGCAAAGACAACATGACAAATGTAACAAAGTGCATGATAAACCTCATTTAAGATATGTCTAAAACACATTTCAGAATATACTGATGCACATTCTCATTGTGTAATTACCTTTTACAATAATAGTTAACAAATTAATTTCAGGTAGAATAAACCACAAGAAATTTGCATGCCATTTCCTCCATAATATTCACATGAAAAGTAGTTCTTACAATCGTACCCCGTTTGTATAAGAAGTGTTTATATAACAAAGCCTTCCAAGAGAAGCCAAGTGACCTGTGTATGACCAGCATTTCAGTTAAATCAGTTTTCCCTCTCTTGCTCCAAGAGTCATCTGTAGGGCATATTTCCACTTTAAACTAAATGCTGAATGCTTCATTATTTAATTTTTTAGGGTTTGTCAGCACTGCCAGCATCTGATACATTCTGTATTCTTTTGGTTTATAGCATAATGAATAATTGTAAGCAGAAACAGAACCTCCCACGTCTTCACTCTTGGGAGGAATAAGCTGCACCAGAAGTTTCCTTCCATCTACTGCACTCCCTGGACAAATTAAAATCCTCATGTTTTTCACAGCAGCTGCCAGATAGAATTAACATTACAGGAACAATGTGAACAGACATGAAAGTTAACAGGCACATGGTTATCTCTTATCAGCTATTGTAACTTAAGTGGGAATTCTATGTAGTTTTTGAGCTTGTGACCTACTATCAAAAAACTTTTATACTCCCTTATTACATTTGCCATGTTCCTCTCAAGGGGCTGAAAGGGGAAGAATTCCTCATTTTCAGCGTAACAGACACAACTGGCTTCTAAATAAGAGATACTCATTTAGGGAAAAAACCCAAAGCATTAGAAAACTTAAACTAACGTCTCTCTTATAGCATAAACCATGGCAGGCACTAAATTCCAACTGCAAAAGAATTATATTACTTCCTGACATCCAAGATCTGTATAAATTGCTTCTAAGCACTACCAGAAGTATCATCCAGGACACTGCCACTTTACTTTCCTAGAAATTTCAATTTTCATCACTCTGGGGAACAGAATGTCAGCCTATGTCCTACCACAGAGCCTCACCATCTTCTTCAAAGAAATAAATCTATAGTTTTTGCAATCCTATTCCGTGTAAGCCCTTCAAAAAAATAGGACTGCAGAGGTTTTTCCTTTTACATTTTTAAATGGACAACAAAAGCCATACTTGCAAAGCTTCTGCTATAGTATCTATTTGATACTTTATTTCAGATGTCAACTCCCAAAACACAGATTTCAAGTTGTTGCAGATTCAATAATGCAGCTTTTGTCATTGTGCTGTTTCAAAATAGCACTGGAAACCTCAATAAGCAACACAGGTTTGTCTGCCAAAAATCTCTTGTTTACAGCGTTGTCTCTTGGCACATTCTGACTGGAATATTATAATGTCTGTCATCTTCAGTTATGAGAGTCACAACAGGCCAGTCCTCCTCCGGGTCATTGGGGTAAAGTGTGATGAATTCATCAGTGCTGTATTTATAGAGTCGATACACTTGGATGGTATATTGCAGAGCATAAGCAAGAAGGAACATTTCCACCTACATTGGATAAAAGCAAACATATGTGTAAAATTTAACATACCCTTTACAAGACTTTTCTCACAAAAACACCAAACCAATTCTTATCAGATGTAAATTTTCAAAGAAAAAGACACGAAGTGAGAATGCATATACATGAGCATCTCTAGTTCAGAACCTCAACCATACACCTCTAAGATACCAGGCCTTTAACACGAAGCTCTTCGGAGCCACAATGGCATAGTAGGATACCAGTCCTATAGAAAAACTACTTTACACAGAGGATTTCACTTCCCAGCTGCCACAAACAGGTAGGAAGGACATTCTCTTGTATCAGTATTCATCCTGATAAGTCACTAAACCAGACAAGAGCAGGTTTCAGGCAACAACCCTTTCATTCTTACAGGATACTGTGAACTCTCCAGCCAAACAGCAGATGAAAACCCCTCACAAAGCCTGTTGACGAAGAATGAATTCAGAGAAAGAAGATGGAAAAATCTTCTATCTTGCCTACTACAGTGGCAAGCATAACCTGCTCTAAATAACAATTTACAAAGAATATTACTGAAATGAACAAATCCAGTCAGCACAAAAACAGGTGATACAGCTTCTTGACTAAACTGGTCAGCAACAAAAGTCTCCTAATTTAACAGTAACAAACTGTCTTATCTATACTACAGTTGCCTGATTTTTAAGACAATAAACAGAAACAGAACACAATACTTCGATGTTTCTAGTGTCTATGATTAAGTAGTGAATTTGAGTGCAGTATCCCACTTGTAAAGTATTCAATGGAATATTTTTTAATGGATGCTTCTAAAATCTTTCAGACTATTCGGCACATTACTACATTTTCTTTTGGGGCTTTTTTGTAATATGCACACCATTTATGCCATGTACAAAACAGTAATTGGCATTAGCTTATCAGAATTCACCAAGTATAGGTGCTACACATGATCTTCCCTTCATAATTTGAGTATTAGCTCTTATGAGGGTCGTTTTTCAAGAAAGCTAACAATTAACAGATTAATACAAGTGTTCTATTAAGAGAAAAGCCTATTTCCACAGAATGTTACCTGTCAGCTGCCAGATAAAAAGCAGTGTTTTAAAGGAGGGCCTTTACAGACTCCCACTACAATCAAGCAGTTCTCATATAGTTTTCCCAAGAAAAGACTAGACACTACACCACTCAGCTTAGCCAGACCAACCAAAGCTGTGTGATTTCTTAAACCACTTGAAATTAAAATCTCCGAAACAGGAAAATAACACTATAAGAACGATCTCTTCTTACTTGTTCCAGGCCTCCACTGTGCCCAATGTGATTCAAGTGATTATGCATTAGCTGGCAAGGGTTGCTAGATGTATCCCGTGCAAACAGTAACCAGGAGAAGACAGGCACTCTCCTTCCATTTTTATCATCATTGTATAATTCAATAGCAGTGTTAAGCATCAAAAATTTCAGTGCTTCATAGAGACTATACTCCTCCTCTTCATTTTTAAACAATTCATCACAAGCTTCTTGTTTCTCAATGGAACTCTTGATTTCACTTACACTCTTCCACTAAAAACAAAACAAAACAAAAAAAAAACCAAACAAAATAAACCCCATCACACACACAACACAAATCAACAGCTGTCACTGTGCAAGAGCTGCAAAAAGCCACTTGTGAGTTGTCAGATGTTCAGCACAGGCACTTGGAATTTAATTTACAAAGGGCTTTGTGCCTTTTTAAAACAATCAAGAATATTTCCACAGCTGTAGCCTTATCAAGGTCAGGTTGAGTTAGTCTGATTTTGCTTAAAATGGTCCTTAAGCAAAGTAAAAGGAGGGGATACTGGAAATTGTCACAAAGTGACAGAACGAATACTGTCATGGGGCAGTAAGCAATAAGGTAATAACTTTTTAGTTTTCTGTACCATAAATCCTACATCCTTCATATTCTTTACATTTCAGCTACTCAGAATGCCTATTTCATTCCAGCCCCCAAACTACTTGAATACAGCATTTGAAATACTCTTAAAAGCCTTCATAGAAAAGAAAATATGCATTCACAGTAAGACAAAGTGTCTTAACTGAAAAAAATGAAGTTTTGTAATAGGTTCCAGAGTTTCAAGAGGGGGAAAAGCATGGGACTAGGTAATGTAGGATGAAAACTACTTCTTAGAAATTACTTATTTTTTCTTTCCACCATATGCGCAAGGCAGCAACATCATTTATCCATAGTATACATCATACCTTCAAATAAATAAAATACATAATAGAATCATAGAATTTTAGGGGTTGGGAATGGACCTTACAGATCATCTAGTCCAAACCCCCCCTGCCAGGGGCAGGGACACTTCTCCACTAGACCTGAGCGCTCAAGGCTTCATCCAGCCTGGCCTTGAACACCACCAGGGTTCAGGCAGCCACTATCTCCCTGGGCAACCTGTTCCAGTGTCTCACCACCCTCACAGGAAAATACTTTTTCCTAATATCTAACCTAAACTTCCCCTCCTTCAATTTGTACCCATTGCCCCTTGTCCTGTCACTATAACTCATAACCAAGAGCCCCTCTCCGGCTTCCCTGTAGTCCCTTCAAATACTGGAAGGGCCCTTCTCCAGGCTGAACATCCCCAACTTCCTCAGCCTGTCTTGATAGGGGAGATGTTCCAACCCTCTTAACTTCATGGCCTCCTCTGGACTTGCTCCAACAGTTCCATGACCTTCTTATGTTGAGGGCACCAGAACTGCACACAGGATTCCAGGTGTATATAATGTGTAATAGAGGCAAAACATTACATTCATCATTGAAACATGTCTAATAGTTTTCTGCAGAGGTGCTTACAAATTATCCCAGCATCAGGCTATTACAAGTAGTGAAGGACCAGAAACCTCTCTCACATCTGAACATATTGTTTACTAGACCTTTTTGCAGTACATATACAGAAAAGTGACTTTCACTAGTGAAAGAACCCTTATGCTAAATTCACCACATCCAAAAACCTATGTCATTTTTCTTATTTGCAATTGGCCAAGAATAATCAAATACTTTTCAAACCTTTTTCCTTAGAAGTATTAAATACTCTTTAATTTCATCACTTATTTCTCCCATCTTTCTGCCCAGTTTCTCTTTCAGCTGCCAGTGCTTGATCCAGTCATACTTGCTCAGCAAGTTTTCAGGAAGCTGGAAATCGAGAGAAGAAAAGGCAGCTTAAGTCAAAAGTCTGGAAAGGAAAATCCACCAACTTGCATATTTTATATTTCAATTTTTTAAACATTTTGCACCTTAAAACTATCCCTCGTATGTTCTTCTGAACAGATGTCATAGATGACCATAATCAAACACAACTGGCTCTTCATAATATTTGCTTGATAACAGCCAGAGTACTGATCTATTTCTATTTCCGGATCTAACCAATATATAAGCACTAGAAAAATTAATCACCCAAGTTACTTATGCCCTTTTTTTCCCCTTAAATTAAAACAACTCCCCGCCAGCAGACAGATGACAGTGACTGAGTTATAAAGTGTCCCTGAACCAACAGAAGGCAATGTCCAAAAGATAATCCAGAAGTCTTGGTGGACTGCAAATTACTTCGTCCAGAAGTCACAAACTGTGTTTCCTTTTCAGGGAGCATAATTCAAGCACTCTAATAAAGAGTAGTAGTAGTTGATGCATCAGGTCATGTTTTAGCCTCAGAACTGCCTCTTTTACTGCTCACATGCTACATCTGCTTACTTAAGAGATTTTACATGTCTCTTTTGGGACACCCTAACAGTGCCATGTCCAGTTTTTTCACCCTCATCTATTAACCCATTTTACCACTAGAACTGGAAGAGCAACTTGTATCTCACAATGAATGAAGTCTTCAGCTAGAGCAGTATATTCACTGCCATTTTCATTTTATCAGGATTCCGAATTAGTAGCATGTTCACTTTAGTGGAAATCAAGTATGTGCCACTTGGACACAGACCTCCTCCCACCCTAGCCTGGCATCCTATGCTAACTGGACAGATAGAACTAAATAACCAAAAACTATATGCCAGTAACTTCTACAATGAGAAATGTGCAGGTAAAGACCATTTTAAAATTTAAAACAACAAAACAAATGAAAACCTGCAAAATTTGTACTGCCAGCTGTAGCCACATACATTTCTCTTATATGACTTCTGCTTTGATGCACAACAATTTATTATTTCAGTCAGTTCATTTTGTACTTGCACATCTTTTCCAAAAAGATGTTAATTATCATATGACATTTTCCTCTATGAATCAGTAGGAATAAAAAAGATGAAGATCATGAAAAACTACAAAGCACACCATTTTAAAAGTCTCCGTGCTCTTTAGAGGAGCACTGGGAAACTATGTTCTTTACTCTGATAATGTGGAAATGGCTGTCAGCTGGGATAATGTGCTTCTTATAAAAAGGAAACCATTTTGCAATGTACTTTGTGCTGCAGCAAAACACTTCACACAGCTATTTTTATCAGCACTTACGAAAACATATCAATAGATGTTTACTTAACAATCATAGTGACCACAGTAAGAACTTTAAAGATGACCCCTAAAGTTATACAGAAAAATAGTAAGAGCAGTGTGATTCTACCTGGACTGGATGCCTAGACATGGAGTCTGTGTCAGGCATTCACCACTTACACTCCCAGCAGCTTTTTGACAACTAGAACCTTACTCTTCTGAAGTGGGTCACTTGTATAGGCACCTCCCTACATGTTTCCTCCACATTCATTGATACCACCAAATGGACTTTGTTGACACAAAACAATTTCTGGAATATTCTTCTAGCCTTAGGAAGATACCTTGCTTTGCTCATACATCAATGCCCTATAAGAACTGTTCTTCATATCAAGCTGGAATTGTTCTTACACTTATTTTAAGTAACATTGAAGACACAGGTAATTACACACATTCTGAAAAGCCTACAGCATCCAATTTGGTATTCCACTTTCTAGGGAAACCTTATATGGCACACAAGAATACACATGGTAATTTTGAAAAGCTTGAGTTTTCTCAACTGTTAGAATAAATTGTCTGTATTTGTTGTTTTCACCAGCTGTCTTATGGAAAGCCTCTTACTGCCAAATTACATGCACTAAGAAGAAACCAAGAGGGCAAGATGAAGACAGATGAGTCACATTAGTCAGCACTACAGTAATATTTATATACATTATAAACTGGAAACTAAGGGCACCTGCACTCAATTCCAAGTTGAAAGAATCACTGTGCCCAAACAACAATATTGAACATTACAACTTCTCAGTACAAGGGAGATTGAAAATGAGCATATACAGCATAAGAGAGAAATGAGATCATCAAATTATCAAAGAGGTTAGAAAGAACATCCCTGTACTGTCAGAAGATCAGTTTGACATGTACCATAGTAAAATCCTCACGCTGCAGCCAGCTTGGTAGCTCAGTAGATTGACTCAATGCCTGGAAAAGAGTTGCTCTGAAAGCACAATAGTTATCACCTCGTATTCTCCTTATAGATGCAAACTTCTGAGCAACTGCTTCATATCCCTGTAAAAACACAAAATCCAATTAACATGAAAGAATTAATAAAACATTTTATGGGCACACACGAGTAACATAAAAGATACTGGAATATTAGCATCCAAACACCAATGCCATTTAAAAAAAAAAAAAAAAAAAAAAACAAAAAAAAAAAACAAGGTATTTGACCCACTACCCATTTCAGATTCTTTCATGTCACAAATTGTGCTTCAAAAAAACCTTTTAGTTCTTCTGAAAAATAAACAAGAAACTAAAGACATCTAAGCATATAACTGGTCAAGGTATATGTTTGACAACAGAACATAAATATGACTGAAATATGAGTGGCTAACTCACTTAGGTTTCCATAAAAAACAAACATACAAACACAAGATTATAAATCTAAAAATACATAACACTTAAAACAAGTTTCAGCAACAGCTTATGCTTCTTACACAATACATGTCACATGTAATTTGTTTCTGCCTCAGGGAAAATTTGTGTTTACACTCAAGCATCCTGACACTTGCCTCAGCACATTTGCTCCCTCCCTGCTGTTCCCATACACACAGTTTTAGCAGAAGCTACGTTGAAATGTAACTTCTCAGCTTGTCTCTTCAGCTAAACCAGCAAGAGCCAATGCCCCATGTGTCTTTATTTCTCCTACTAATCTCTTGAAGGTGACATGTGGATTTTTTTATTTATGTAAAGTACTTTTTAGGTTTACTCATACATATCACTGAACTGTGAATTTTCAAACAACAACACAATAACTTTATTTTACCATTTTAGCTTGAGATTAATATAAGAAAACTAGTTCAGAAACAGGGAAAGGAAAAAAAAAAATCAGAAAAAAATTAAGAAAATCCAAGTCTATTCAGTAAAGCTTCCCACCTTAAAAATCATTTAACTTATCAATTTTGGTGACTTGCCTTCCATAAAAAAATTGGTAATCTGCTCTGCATTTCAACAGTCCACAAAATTAGCATTTTATGTCCATAAACTAAATACAAAACTTCAACTGAAAACAGTAACTAAGAACACCACTAATCAAACCCTCACACTATCAATAAGTAGCCTTATTAAAAACACATTTGGAACGAGCACAAACGAAAGCATCTTCCAGTTGTCAGCCACTTCTCAGGTCAGACAGTGTAAAACATTGATACTGTATTTCTTGTTCTAAAGATTGATCCCACAGGAAATCACCTAGCAAACATACAAATGAAAACAAAAAGCCTACTGAAATTCAACAAAAATAGAACTGCTACCTTTCTCATCCTTTTTGCTACTGGTGTATTTCCTCTCCATTCTCTTCTGCAATACTCCATGATGTCCATTTCAGGGGCAACACTTAGTTTACATTCTGTTAAAATAGAGTATGTAACATTATACAGAAAACAGAACAAGGTAGAAAGCATATCAAATTTCTAAATACATGATCACTTTAAAATGACATTGGTGCCAACTGGCAGCAAAACTAACAGCTACTAAGTACTTATTAGTATGGGAGAGGAAGAGACTAGCTTGCTCTGAAAATTACATGTGATGAAAAATCATCATGTATGCCAACAAAACAGGGAACACTCTGCTCCTCTCTTCTGCAAGTATTAATTGGCAAAGAGTAGAAATCAGCAACCTATTTCTCATTTTCTTAGCAATCAGAAAAATATTTGACACAAGTTTCCCTTTTTCATACAGCAGACAGATTACAAGGGACAAAGATGATAGACCTTCCTGGATAAGTCAGTAACAATTGCAGAAAGAAGAAAACCAGTTTTGTCTTGGAATCCCAACAGCCTTCATTCCAAAACAGATAGCACTGAGGTTATCAAGGGATCCCAGCAACAGATGCTGCTGTGACAACTATGAATCAGTAATTTTCAAGCACGTTACTCATACATAGGCAATGACAAGTGTCCTTTCCAAAGGATTCACATTCTCTTTCACAAGTTACTTTACAGTAACTGCACAAGCACAGGGAATAACGTGCTACAAGCAACTAATTTTACATAAAATTGATCTTTTTGTGAATTAAACTGTACAGTGCACTCAGTTCTGCTGAAACTTCTACTGCAAGTAACTAACTTCTACTGCACACAGACACCTGTGCACAAAAGCCCTTGGAAAGGAGGGTGTCAAATAAACACAGTGAATTGTAACACCACAAAGTTAGGTTGTACCTGAGGAGTTTGTCTGACAAAGTAGCATTTTCTCTCTCTCTATTTCTTCTGCATCTCGATACATGTCCTCCTCACTGCAATAAAAATCAACACATGCCTCATGTAACAGCACAAATCTTGCACTCTTTTTCAACCTTTTTCCCTGCTTACAACTCAGGCAAGTATTAAAGTCTTTCTACAATTATTTTTTTCAATTCAATTTGCTTTCTGTCTTACACATTTTGATAGAACCAATACAAGCTCTCAAAAAAAGAGAAAAGTTAAAAAAAGCCTCTCAACTGTTCCCCTCCTGTATCTATGACACCTCTGTTGGCAATGAATCGTTGTCTCAATTATTCTTCTCTGGTTTGATGGGTACTACAGTCCCTCTTGTATTTCTAAATTATACAGTATAAATTTGCAGAAGACACAAGCCAACATGCCTATTTGCTGAGGATATGAATAATACAACCTGTGCATGCAGCTAAGAACACATTACTCAACAGAGCTTTGTATCTACACACCACTGGGACTGAGCAACTTGCCTAGTAGTAAGCGGTATACACAAAAGAATATGATGAAAAGCAGCCAACTACCTGCAGTTGGTTTGAATGCTACTAACCCAAAGTAAAAGTTCTAACAGGATGCAGACTGCACAGACTACAGGCTAGCTGAAATCCAGACAAACATTTCTTCCTCAAATAGTATGAGCTTTTTGGTCAAGCTACATTGCGTTCAGAGTCAATTTACAGACGTTGTGAAGTTATGGCCATGAGGGGGGAAATCATGGCCTACAAGAACATTGTTTCTATGCATAGCCTAGCGTTAGCATGAAGAGATCTCAAAGCTTGGATGCAAACATTACTGTTGAGAACAGAGCTCCAGACAATGTTCAAAATAAATGGCTGTAAATTGCACATTCTTCTCAACGTGACTCTGAGTGGCATATGGCATATCATTACATGGAGCAAAGAAACATTTCAAAAACAATCAGGGTTTCACAGTTAAAATACTTCAAAAAAACCATGCACCATCAAACACATTCGTACCCTTTAGGCTTACCACTAAAAGAAGCTTACATTGAAAGTCTGTATTTTGAAGAAAGTACATGTGCAGAAGAAGGATATAAGGTTATTATTCATTGCCCACTACTATTAGTAGCTTCTAATCTACTACTCAAAAAAAGCACAAACCCAAACAGCGTGCCTGCAAAAGACCAGAAAAAAATTAAGGCAGTGGTTCTGCCCCATCTTACACCATGAAGAAAGAATAAGCAGTTGGGAAGACCGCATGAAAGGCTTTAGGGTAGCCAGCTGGTAATTAGATTACTTTCATTAAGCCTGAAAGGATACACTACTAAATGATGGCTCTGTATTTCTTTTTCTCTACATCCAAAGCAGCTTACTCAGGCCATTTGCATTTATTCCCCTGAGAACAAAAATATGTTGAGTATAAAGACCAATATAGGTTAATACCAAGAAACCCATCTACTGTGATGTCATATTCAACTACGGTTTAGCTTTCACTCAAGTGCTCAAGTAGCTTAAAATCTCACTTTTAACAATACTAAATCATTATTAATTGAAAAAGAAACAACAGATATAGTAGATATTAAACACACTACTCCATAGAAAGTACTACCTGCTGAGGAGTAGAATCATAGAAACACTTGTTTCAAGTCCTTATCCTTGTTTCAGTGTTGCACTGGACAAAGCCTAATTTCTCAGCAGAGTTTAAAGCCCACTAAGGGCTGTGAAGAATTCCAAAAATACTTAATAACCTTGAAAAGACTGTGGAAAAAAAACCCCAGACAACTCAATACCTGACAACATCAATCTCCAGCCTAGCTTATCTATAAGCCAGGTATTTAAAATATAAAGTGACAACCTCCTCCTTCCTCAAAGCATGAAGAAACCTGCTGCTACAAGAGATCCCAGGGCAGGCGTCAGGGCAGGGGGAACTGCCACTTTGGGATACAGCCTGTGTTTAGGTTACAATGCACAAAGAGAAAAAGTGCTCAACTGACAAAGCTAGTGAGATGACTCACTCATAAAAGAGGAAGATTGGTGTGTTCCTTCTGCAGATATTATTACCCCTTCTTCTTTCTGGGAGCTGACAAAACAGAATAAGCCACAGACTGAGAACGTGGCAGATGAACATCCAGGGTAAACAAGGTACTGCAATTCAACAGAGTTGTTCTGAAATCAAGGAAGCCAAGAGAGGTGCAATCCAACTGTGCATGCACACTCACTTCGGAGATGAAAGTGCATCGTAACATTGTTCTAGCAAAGCAACTGTTAAGCAAATCTGTGGAAACAAGAATGTGGGAACGAAATCCTTTCCCCATTAATCTTCACATTAATGTTTGATTAATAGAGTGAAAATAAAGTAATGGTGGAAAAGAATAGTTCCATGAAAACACATGCACAAAAGTAGTGCATAACGTTGCATGTAAATAATTAAATTGCTGAATTAGTAAATCAGGTTTTGCTGAACTAAAGATACCAAGGGGGAAAAAAAAAAAGTCAGATTTTACTTACAGTATCCTGTGCTTTCCATTTTGAAAACAACAAAAAACTCCCAGATCACCAAAAAAACCACTAAACCCCAACAAGTTAAGATGACAGCAAGCAAAACTAAACTGGAGAGAAGGTAAAGGACTATGAGAAAAATATAAGTAGTTTTGCATTCATCAATTTGAAGGACTAGAACTCCCAGTATTGAAGAGACCATACAAAAGCAAAAACAATGCTTAAAGTCTTCTGTTTATTATCATGAAGAGATGAATATTTCTTTATGTCAGATTTAACTCTTTGCTATTAAAAGTTCCTGCAAAGGAATATTAGATCAAATAGAATTAGTATGTCATGTAGCAGCAAATTTAAAAATTCAGAAGGCTAGAGATCCATATGCACCAGGCTTTGCCAACATAAAAAATACACTTTAAGCATATTTATATCAATGAGTATTAATGTAAAATGTGTTAATATAATAAACTCACATCAACACCTTAGTGCTTAAATTACAGAGTAATTTAAACATGAAATAAGATTTTAAAAGCATCCTTGAAAACATCTACTTATTTATTATGACTTTCACTAAGTCAGCACTTATTGTACATTTTGGATGTTGTCCAAAATAGCACACTAGGTACCTACAGAAAGATTAATTTTTTATCACTTTTTTCTTACTTTATTAATGTAATATTCAACAACACAAACCCACTCTTAAGAGCATTAATTTTGTTTTCAAAAGTTTGGAATATCTTTTTCTAAAACATTCATAATTATTTCTTCCTCCAGATACCAAATATTCTTTTAAAGACTTCTACTGTCAAATCTGTACCACACTACTCATTTTTTCACTTCAGCCTATAGCAGGTTTACAAAAAAACAACCAAACAATAAGCTGAAGGATTGGGATTAAGAAAAGTCTTCCATTATTGTCAGCACTGCACCTGCCAAAGCATTCACAGAGACCTACTTTCAGTTCCTAGTTTCCCTTGCTCTGAATCCTACCCTTAATGTCACATCAGTCATTCCCTTAGATGGAGAAAGAAACCACTAATAAACTATAAAAATAAGCAATTTATCTAAAGTGAAAGTGGCCTTCAGATTCTAAGACATGACATTTAGACCTGTTTCACTAAGACATTAACTAATTTTTCCACAAAACTTACCTTTGTGAGCTGCATGTCCCGCTTCCTCTGTAGAGAAAAGCTGTTAGAATGTTTTTAAAAAAAATCAATAAATCCTTACCTCTCCTCAGATGACTCCACTGCTGGACAACTACTAGGCACAGGTAGATATAGTTCACAGTTTCTAGATGCATCTTGATCTGTCACAAGTGACTTAATCATGTCTGTCTCCTCAGGTCTCCCACTACTTCTGTACGCATAGTCTTCACTTACTTCAGATGTAGCTTGCTCTTTCTGGTCTGTAGCTGCATTTGCTGAAGCAAGTTCCTCAGAAGTGACACCAACTTCCTTTTTACGCTTCATCAGCTGTGTGGCAACACTCTCTTTCTTCTGTACTGAACCTGCAGAAAGGCTGGTTGGTTCTGTCATCCACCCTTGAAAATTATCCTGGCTTTGAAGAATGGAGAAATACATGAAGAGCAACTCTCACAGAAGAACCAAAGCACATGTTTTAAGAAAATTACAATATTTTAATAGATAGGTTATATTCTGACAATTCAGAGGGTACAAAAATTATTCAAGAACAGGAACAAAATCCAGAACAGTTTGGTGAAATAAGACAGCACCCAAGCTATTTACAAACTCATCCCTCTGACAAGTCAATTCTGTTTCTTACCAAGGCCAAGCTGTGTCAGTTCCTCAAACACAGCCTGCACTAGAATCAGTGCCCTGACTGAATAGGTGCATTAGCACCTAAAACCCCAAGGAGTAACAGAAACAAGTTTCAGCCCTGCAAGAGAAGGATTATTACAAACCCACCTGGTGCTCATTGAAATGACCATTGCACCAGGACTATCGCTTAGTGCAAGAATTTCCAATCTTTGTGTCTTCCAATATGATGCCCACAGTATCAAGACATGATTTCTACAAACCATACTAGCAAGCTCTCCATAGGTTTAGGATGTGCCCATATGGTAAATTTTCAGGGATATTTATCTTCAATTGACATGTAATCCTCCCAAAAAGTTATGGGTTGCTTTGCAGCTGCCAGATTGATGTTCTAGACAATTCACTGCTACCCAGGCTGGTCATCTCAGAACTCACAGTTTTAATATCCACTCTATACACCCTTAAACTGTACAGCATGATTCTATTTCCAGGTCAAAGCCTCCCACATGCAACAAACCTTTCCTTACAGATGTTACTGCCCTTTGGCACTCAAGCCCTGCTGTGTACCAAGCCATCCTGTAGCACAGAGTTCAGGACTAGAGTTCACAGAATCATAGGATGGTTTGGATTGGGAGACCTTAAAGGTCATCTAATTTCAATGGGCCACGGGCAGGGACACCTTCCACGGGACCAAGTTGCTCAAAGTCCCATCCAACCTTGCCTGGAACACTTCCAGGGATGAGGCAACCACGGCTTCTCTGGGCAACCTACTGCAGTGCCTCTCCACCCTCACAGTAAATAATTTCTTCTTCCTAATATCTTCTCTAAATTTATGTGTTTTCAGTTTTAAGCCATTGCCCCTTGCCCTGTCACTACACGCTCTTGTAAAGAGCCTCTCTCCAGCTTTCTTGCAGGCTCCTTCAGGTACTGAAAAGCTACAATTAGGTCACCCCTAAGCCTTCTCTTTTCCAGGCTGAACAAACCCCATTCTCCCAGCGTTTCCTCGTACGAGAGGTGCTCCATCCCTCTAATCACCTTGACGGTCCTTTGGACTCGCTCCAACAGGCTGATGCCCTAGTGCTGGGGACCCAGAGCCGGGTGCAGCACTCAGGGTGGGATCACCAGCGCAGAGCAGAGGGGCAGCATCGCCTCCCTCGACCCGCTGCCCAAGGAAAGCCGCACAGCTAGTTCCGAC